GGAGTGGGGCAGCCCTGCCGGGACCCTTATTGCCCTTATTGCCCGTGACTCAGCCCTGCCGAGTCCTGCTTTTTGTCCAGGAATTTTAGTGAAACGCTCCTTAAGAGCAAAGCTGCAAAAGCAGGGGCGTTTGGGTCGTCGTTGGGGGGGGGTCGTGTTGTCTCTAGCCCAGTGTGATCCTCTTAAGTGTGTTGTGCCACATCGTGAGGAACCCTGCAGAGTTCTCATTGTTGGGGAGGGCGTTGTAGAGCAGGTGACAGGTTCAGGGGTTGCACAGTCGCAGAGGAGGTGGCCGGTTCCTGTTCTGGAGGAGGAGGTGGCTGGTTCCTGTTCTGGAGGAGGAGGTGGTCGGTTCCTGTTCTGGAGGAAGGGTTGAAATAATTACATCTGTTATGAAGCATCCTAAAGATCATCCTTGAAGAAGGCAATGCTGTCCCATCAGTTTAATTAGAGGGTGGGATATAGAAGAGATCGCGTAAACTTTTGGATGCCCTTTTCTGCCACTCTTACTTATTCTTAAAAAAGCACTGTGGCGATTTCTGCAGGGGCAAAGTGCCCTGCAAGACGCCGTGCATAACTGCATAACGGAAGTGATTTCTGTCGTTGAACTGGCAGCTTTAGTCAGGTGCTGAATGCAGGCACGTGAGAGGGCACGAGACTTGTCTCTCTGGTGACAACTGATAATGTTTAGCTTTACGGTTACGAGAATATGTGCAGTACGGCTAACGAGTAGTCACGTCTGTATTGGGGTTATGCTTTGTCATGGTTTTTGCGTGAAACTCCTGGTTTGAATAACGTGGGTTTTTTCTTGCCTCTGTAGGCTGGTTGGACTCCCTTACATATTGCCGCTTCGGCAGGCCGTGATGAAATTGTGAAAGCCCTCATTGCCAAGGGTGCCCACGTTAATGCTGTCAATCAGAACGGCTGTACGCCCCTGCATTATGCAGCCTCCAAAAACAAGCAGGAGGTATGTTTGCCTGTGCTACTGGAGGTGGTGTTGCTCTTGGAAGAAGCATTTAATTGTATTAACTTTCCCTCCTCCTCCCCCCACCCCTTTCTCTTTCTACATATTCAGATTGCAATTATGCTTCTAGAGAATGGAGCTGATCCAGATGCAACAGATCATTTTGAATCCACCCCGTTACACAGAGCAGCAGCCAAAGGAAACCTAAAAATGGTACAGATCCTTCTGCAGCACAATGCGTCTGTTAATATACAGGACTCTGAAGGGAATACTCCTCTGTAAGTACTTTTTGTTTTTATTTTGCTTAATGTAGCATAATCTCTATGAAATGAAGCTCCATTACTTCCATTTCTTTTTTTAATTTCTCGTTGCCTCAAAATACTCCCTTGCTTCACACCTCTGTGTAATTAAAAAGGATTTGAGGCAATCACATGTAGTATTTTGCCTGTGTGTGTGTACATATATACTTTAATTCGTGTTACTACATCTACTTGAAAAGTGCAGAACACCTTTTGTAATAATTTGGAATACGTTCAGTTGCCACTAGAGGGTAGAAAGCGAGCCGATGACATCAAAGCCAGAGGACACTGGTCTTGCAGGCTGGCCTGCTCTGTGCTGCCAAGCAAGAACTAATTATGGAAGCTTTTCTTCACCTTTCTAAGGAAAATAAGTTGCAATTCAAGTACAATCAGTCCAGTGTTTGATATTACCTTAGAGATCAATTTGAGTCTGTTAAAGTAAGAATTTAGCTGCTTTGAAGTTGGTGGCAAGACTGCCGTGTCTACAGTGGAATCAAGGTTTTGCTGTGAACAAGATGAAGCAGTATGTTTTAGCTGCACGTGGAACCCAGTATTGTCCTGGAACACACACGTTTCTTCTCAAGATACCATGCCAAATGGAAAAAAGCATTTGCTGCATTTGCAGTAACTCTTCAGGTCATTTTTAAGTGTTATATGATTTAGTTTATCACTTTTGATTCAAATAGAGATTACCATTTTCCATTTTCACTGTGGGTTATGTGCTCCTTAGCTTTGCTGACTTCAGGGCCAAATTCTAATCTAAAGAAGTGCCTCAACGTTGCGAGGACAGTAGCAGGAGGAACGTTCTTGAGTTGCTTAATGACAGCAGAGTGACTGGACAGCAAGCTTTGGAATCCATGTAGGTAGCTGGTTGCATGTGGTTTTGTTGTTCTAGGACGTATCTCCCCCCCAGAATTCACACGGTCGTTTAGACAAGGCATAATTAACTGCTTTTTATAAGCTTGGACTGTTTAATGGTGGCTGTGGGTTTCTTGTTCTTATTGCAGTCATTTAGCCTGTGATGAAGAGAGAGTGGAGGAGGCAAAGCTGCTGGTGTCTCACGGTGCAAGTATTCTTATTGAGAATAAAGAAGAACTGACCCCCCTGAAAGTGGCAAAAGGTGGCCTGGGAGCCATACTTAAAAGAATGGTGGAAGGCTAGCGGGGACTGCTGACTTGACTCACTTTGCAGTTGCACTTGTATTTAAGACTGCAAACTTCGTGTTTTGATAACTCAGCTAGGATGTCCTGTGTGGCATCAGCATGGTAAAAAAATGTGTATCTCTAGCTTTCCTGCAAGTACCGTGCCAAAACAACCGTTTGTACTTCCTGCT